AGCGCGCGCTCCGCCGAGCCAGGCCCCTCGGAGGACTTTGTACGGTGGTACCCGAGTTCAGTGCTTTTGGAGTTTCTTTTTAAACAGTATTAATGTAATAAAGAATGCAATAAAAAAGAACAAAGGACAAATTGGTTCAATTGTTTTAGTCCTGTGTAATGTTTAAAAACGCCCCTGCTTCAGTCAATGGCTTGTTATTGCTTCAAGATGTTTTAAAGGCCCTTTAAGCTCCCCATTCTCACTTTGATGCTTCATCCAGGCACGGTACCACTTAAAACGTGGAGATAGAGTATACTCCGAGCCTCATCATTTAGCCATACAGTAATATAAAATTAGTACTGGGAACCTCAAGTAGTAAAATTACATATTGTAAAAAATGCACGTAAAAGACCACATGGACAACACCCAGAGCTGACACTGGTCCATGTGCCATCAGGCTGCCTCACAAGATTAATCTCTAAAGTGTAAAGAGATGAGGATGTTTTTTAATGAGTAAAAGACAAATGCAAGAAAGAAAAGTTGAATTTGTGTCAATTACTAATTGCGATTTACTGATCACTGACATCATGAAATGTCTGATTGGTTGCCTTAGATTTGTATTAGCTGAAAAACTTTATTAGTGATGACCGATGGAATTGTTTTGTATTTTGGTGCCTGGCTCATGGTAGGGGCTCAAAAAATAGAGGCTTCGCTCAAGGTACAAAGTGATGAAAGCCCAAAGCACAAAAATCATGTTTTTTACATTGTTCATGTGGGCGTGGGCCCAAAGGAGAAGCGTGAAATAGGTCTATCTGAGAAAAGTGGTACTGGCTTTGACATGAAGGGGGAGGAAGGAGAAAGGTCATCAAAAGGGTTAATTAATGAACACATTATGTGCAGTGCCCTGTGGGAGGCAGCTCAAACTTGTACAAAAAAGAATCCATCCCGGGAAGGACACCGCCATCCATCCCCCAGGTGCCCAAACCAGAACTGTGATCCTTGACTCCTCCCCTCCCAGCCAGTCACTGCCCTGTCATTCACCGAAGCCTGGGCCTCCACAACCACTACCCACTCCTTGGCTACTATCCTGGTCCAGCCTATTGCCACAGTGTCTTGTCGGTCATCCTGTTTGTACTGTGGCTGAAGCGTGGGAGAGGGAGCAAAGGAATAAGGATGCCTTTTCCAGAATACAAACCTAAAAACGTCGATCCCTTTAATGACTTTCCTCCAGATAAAGCCCAAGAGGTTACCACTGTGCTGACCTGGCCGCCACCTGTTGTCACAGGCCCATCTCCCCCTGCTCTCTCCCCTCCCACTCTTCTTCAGCAACACCGGGCTTTCCTTTCCTTTTACCAACTCCTCCCTTTGCACGTACTCGTTTTTCTAGGCGGGGAGCCTCCTTACCTTCTCCCCCAACTCCTGGCCTCCACGCCCATTTCCCTTTAAATAGTCTGCCTTCGAATATTGTCTTAAATGACATTTTTAACAAAATGTATCTTCTCTCACTTCCATCCCTCACCCCACCTTCGGAAGAGTAGAGGCTTTCCTTGGTGCTCTGATAGCTCCCATGCCTCAACACTCGTAATATTTTTTATTCTTTCTTGCAATTGGCTATAACTCTCTTATGACACTGAAATAGATACTCTGTGAGGACATGGGCCTTGTCTTTTTAGCAAAATTGTATTCCCATGGCCTAGATGTTTAACGAATATTTGTAAAATAAATAAATATGAGCTATGAATTGAGAAGAAGTCATTCACAGCTAAAAAGAGGAGAGGCTTCAGGGTAGCAAGTGACCATGAACTGTACTCTTGAATTGGTGAAGAAAAGAAAAAGGAGTTCCCCTTGCTGAATGTTTTTAAGTGGTAGAATATTATGGTGAAAGTGGTACCGAGGTCTTTTGATCCCTGACACTAGCACAGTACCTGACACAGGCATAGGTGTTCAGTAAATCCTGGATAAATGAAATATCTCAAGCTTGGTCCTTGTAACTGCTTTATTCCTGTTCTTTGAGGACAGGAGGCCAGTCTGGTGTAGGTTTGGGGCAGCACATGCTCAAGGAAGGCACGGTGCCCCTTGCGGGCCCCAGCATCACTGTCGCCAGCCAATCACTGCAATCCCAGTCTCTGCCGTGACTGGGTGGAAAGTAGATATGTGACCTAGCTCTGGCCAGGGGGACACGAAGGGAGGTGTGCTGGGACTTATGGGAAATGTTTTTCTTCCTGATAGAAGGAAACTCTTAGCAAGGATAAACCCCCAGACCTGCTTTAGAAGTAATGTTAGGATGTGAGGCTTGAAGCTATGGCAGCCATCTTTTTTTTTTTTTTTTTT